AAACTTGTCCAGAGAACTAATTCAATTTACCACTGTGTTGAAGGTACTATGCTTTGTGTTACTACAGTACACAAAGTAATAATAATAATAATAATATAATATGGTAGGGGTCAGTGCTATGGCATAGACTAAGCCTCTGCCTGTGGTGCTGGTTTGAGTCCCGGCTGCTCCTCTTCTGATCCAGCTCTTTGCTATCGCCTGGGAAAGCAGCAGAGGATGGCCCAAGTGCTTGGGCCCCTGCACTCATGTGGGAGACCTGGAAGAAGCTTCTGGCTCCTGGCTTCAGCTCCTGGCCCAGCTCTGGCCATTGCAGCCATTTGGGGAGTTAATCAGCAGATGGAAGACCTTTCTCTCTGTCTTTCCCTTTGTCTGTAACTCTATAAAAAAAAAACTCTAATTAATAAATGAAATCTTTTAAAAAATATGGTAATGGTAATAGCAGCAGAAGCTATTCTTCATACAGTTGTTAGAACGTGCCAGGTACTGTTCTAAGTGCATTAAATGTATTAACTAACTTAACCTGTTAACTCTTACAAGGAAGCATTTAGATTTAAGAGTCAAACACGTCTGGAATTAAATCTTGGCCCTGCCATTAATGGCCAATAACCTTGAATAAGTTACTTCACTTCTTTGAGCATTAGTTTCCTCAGGTCTAACTGGGGGTGAGAATCCCTATCCTACAGTGATACTATGAGGATTACCTCAGATTATATACATAAAGTACTTATCACAATGCCTGATACCTAGAAGTTATTTGGTCCATTTATCTTCATTGTTGTTGCTAACATGAAAATTATTAGCCTGGCATTGTGGCATAGTGGGTAAAGCTGCTGCCTGTGGTGCCGGCATCTCACATGGGTGCTGGTTCAAGACGCGAGTGCTCCACTTCTGATCCAGCTCTCTGCTATGGCCTGGGAAAGCACTAGAAGATGGCCCAAGTGCTTAAGCCCACGTACCCCCATGGGAGACCTGGAAGAAGCTCCTGGCTCATGGCTTTGGATTGGTCCAGCTCTAGCCGTTGCGGCCACTTGGGTAGTCAATCAATGGATGTAAGACCTCTCTCTCTCTCTGCCTTTCAAATAAATAAATAAATCTTAAAAAATATTATCAAATATTAGGATCAAACACATCAACCTGTAGGCATGTAAACTTTGGAAAGAGAAAAAAGCTCTTTTCTTCCATCTTGAGTTCCTCTTTAGCTTCTTAAAAATGGTAAGAACTCTATATTATTCTTTCTCAAAATAAACTACACATGCAAAAAAAAAATGGATATTATAAAAAGACTCTTAGGTTTTGGGGTTCTTTTCCCCCTAGGAATAGTAGTGTTAAAAATGCACTTCCTTAAAGTGAATAGTGCTGAAAAGAATGAAGATGGCATATGGCTGGGAGAATCTTCCAAAGAAACTACTCTAACTGCCATCTCCTGTTCCTTTCTCTGCCTTTTAAGGTCACAGTAAAATGATAGAAAATCTGGGACTCACACCATCTGTCCAGACAGTTCTATCACTGCTCATTTCTCTTGTTAATCAGAACACTTTACACTTCCCAAACACTGCTACGATAAAGAGCAGTTAAAGCAGAATGAAAGAAGCTTTTTCCATCCAGAAATAGAAAGGTTGAAAATGAACAGTTCTTTTAAGGTTTGTAGGTTTCATGTCAGTGAGAAGAAAAACTCATGCCTTAGAAAGGAAATTAAGAACAGCAGGATTTTTTTTTTTTTTTTTTTTTGACAGGCAGAGTGGACAGTGAGAGAGAGAGAGAGACAGAGAGAAAGGTCTTCCTTTGCTGTTGGTTCACCCTCCAATGGCCGCCGCGGCCGGCGCACTGCAGCCCGGCGCACTGCGCTGATCCGAAGGCAGGAGCCAGGTGCTTCTCCTGGTCTCGCATGGGGTGCAGGGCCCAAGCACTTGGGCCATCCTCCACTGCACTCCCTGGCCACAGCAGAGAGCTGGACTGGAAGGGGGACAACCGGGATAGAATCTGGCGCCCCAACTGGGACTAGAACCCGGTGTGCCGGCGCCGCAAGGCGGAGGATTAGCCTAGTGAGCTGCGGTGCCGGCCAGAACAGCGGGATTTTAATAATAGCTCTAGAAATTATCTTTCTTAGAAATAAGGTAACACTCTTAAAAGAGATCTCTAAGCAGTTTAATATTGATAACTATATAGATTTCTAATCTATAAATTTCTCAGAAGACTAAGAGGAATAGTTTTCTTCACTACTACTACTATACTATAGTGGTATTAACAATAGCAGCTAATGATTACTTAGTACATCTTGGCATTCTTCAAAGCTCTTTTTGTTTTTGTTTATTAATTCTTTTAATCCTTAAAACTATTCTATGATGCAATTTCTATTACTATTTCCATTTTTCAGTTGAAGAAACTCAGGCACAGAGAAGTTAACTTGTCCAATGTAATATAGATGGTAAAATATAGAGCTGGGATTAAAAATTAGTACACTGGCTCTGTACTCTTAATTTTTATATTATACTGCTTTACAGTATTTTTAAGCCTCTAAATTAAATTATATATTACATACGGCAACTCTATCATACTTTAAAATAACTATAGCTGAGTGTCAAAAACACCTTCACCTAGTTTCAGTGACTATCGATTTTATATTCATTAATTTAGCAATTTCTTTTTTAAAAAAGATTTATTTAGTTATCTGGAAGGCAGAGTTACACAGAGGCAGAAGCAGAGGGAGAGAAGAGAGAAAGGTCTTCCATCTGCTGGTTCACTCCTCAAATGGCTGCAATGGCCAGAGCTGGGCCAATCTGAAGCCAGGAGCTAGGAGCTTCTTCTGGGTCTCCCATGAATGTGCAGGGGCCCAAGCACTTGGGCCATCTTCTACTGCTTTCCCAGGCCATAGCAGAGAGCTGGATCGGAAGTAGAGCACCCGGGTCTTGAACTGGCGCCCATATGGGATGCCGGCATTACAGGCAGTGGCTTTACCTGCTACACTACTGTGCTGACCCCATAATTTACTGATTTCTAAGTGTCTTACAATGAGAACTTATCCAGCACAAAACAGTTTGTTGTCATAAAGCAAAATAATTTTATAATTAATAAAAGTTTCAAGAATATTTTCTGGGATCAGTGTCAATTTGGGGATACTGTGAGCCCAAGAAAAAGGTTGAGATTATTCTCAAACTTCTAGAACAAGTTCCACCTTACACAAATACTCCTTGCCTTTAGGTAAAGATGAAGGGATCCTAGTTAGGTGTTTAAGCACCCAGGGGGAAAATAGTTTGAGTTTGGAATCCATCCTGTGTTTACAGAATACTCTACTTTTTGAACAATGTGTCAAGTTTATTTACTGAGAGAAGCTCTAATGTCATCTATGTGGTAAGGTAAGTCCATCACTGGTCACTTGATTTCCATCATAATGACACTAATAGCAGTCACATTAGTAGTAAAAATACTGATAAATAACCCCTATGTGCTAATAACTTACTAACTGCTAAGCACTAGTGTTTCTTTTTTTTTTTTTTTTCTTTTTGACAGGCAGAGTGGACAATGAGAGAGAGAGACAGAGAGAATGGTCTTCCTTTTGCCATTGGTTCACCCCCCAATGGCCGCTGCGGCCGGTGTGCTGTGCTGATCCGAAGGCAGGAGCCAGGTGCTTCTCCTGGTCTCCCATGGGGTGCAGGGCCCAAGCACTTGGGCCATCCTCCACTGTACTCCCAGGCCACAGCAGAGAGCTGGCCTAGAAGAGGAGCAACCAGGACAGAATCCGGCGCCCCGACCAGGACTAGAACCCGGTGTGCCGGCGCCGCAGGCGGAGTATTAGCCTATTGAGCCGCAGCGCCGGCCTAGTGTTTCATATTGTAAGGTATATTAGGGAGGCAGTGTAGAATAGTGATTAAAAGCAAGAGTTTGAGACAGGCTGGCTATCTCACGCCTTCACTTATTTGCAGGGTGACTGAACAAATAATGCTTTGGTTCTCAGTGCCTTACAGAACATCTACCTTCTAAAGTTGCTGTGAGGATTCGATGGGCTACTACATATAAAACGCTCAGAAAAGTGCCTGACGCATAGTTTTACCCAAACTTAATAGATAAGGTGATTATTGTTTGAAACGCTAAAGGCTACCAAGTAGTTAAGGTGGAAGCTGAGGTCTCCCAGGTCTGCCTGATTCCAAAGCCCCTTTTCTTCAGCTTTCCATTCTCACATTCTCAGAAGCAAGGCCAGCCAACTAAATTATCAACATCATAAAGCAGACTATAGTTTCTCTAATGTCATTTTTGTCTCTCCCTACCCAAGAGTTTGACCATCGCAGCATTCAAACAAACAAAAAAACCTGCAACTACTTGTTAATAATGTAAATCTAAGTTATTGCATTTCATCAATTATGAGACACCTTTCCCTCAATTTTTTTCATTTGTGAATCATGTGTCTTAAAATTTTAACTGGCAGTGTTTTTCCTTTCTCAGTAGCACTTAAAATAGTGACACACCTTACAACTGACATAATCTGACACTCGACAAACTGTAGTAGCTGTGGATTAGCCCTCAGTCTTTATTAAAGCTTGCCCACCCACAGCTGCAGCCCTATTCTATCCCAATTTCTTCACTTAAACTTCACTTCATTTCACCTTGACTATCTTCTTACCAACTCTTAACCACCTCCATATAATTATCAAGCCCTACAGCTCTGGTCATCAGTTTTGTACTTCAGGCTCTGGGATTGCTTTCTGTGTTCCTTGCTTTAGTATTCTCTTTCTGATGACTCAAAGGCTTTAACCGTGACTCCTTGAATTGATAAACCCAGGGACACCTCCTCCTCACAGACTGTTCTTACAGGCAGTTCTCACTTCACACGCATAAATGGATTCTATGGGTAAGCTGAGAAAAGTATTAGGCAATAATGGAGCCTTGACAAAAGTTTTTCTCTCTCTCTCTCTCCCTCTCTTTTCTTCCATTTGCACTTACTTCTTATTTCTACCTTCTAAAATTATTTCTATAGCCCCTTTTATAGCTACTTATCTGATTCATACTTAAATTTTTTCCCCGTTTTGGCCTGGGTGCCTCCATTCCACATATGGTCAGTCTCTTCATAGAAGAAAAAAATGTCAAGTTTTACATCCTCTTTTCCCTGGAAGGATAGTTCCAAGCTGTCTTCTACCTAGAAAGAAGAGGAAGACTTTCACAGACTGAAACAAAGGAAACACACTTAGCTTCTTTTTAGAAAGGGGAAAGTTCTCATGTTTTACATATGAAGAGTATTAATTCTAAGATACATTTTTCTTTTTTTTTTTTATTTGACAGAGTTAGACAGTGAGAGAGAGAGACAAAGGCTGGTTCACCCCTCAAATGGCTACTACAGCCAGAGCTATGCCGATCCGAAGCCAGGAGGCAGGTGCTTCCTCCTGGTCTCCCATACAGGTGTAGGAGCCCAAGCAGTTGGACCATCCTCCACTGCCTTCCCGGGCCACAGCAGAGAGCTGGACTGGAGGAGGAGCAACTAGGACTAGAACCCGGTGCCCATATGGGATGCCGGTGCCACAGGTGGAGGATTAACCAAGTGAGCCATGGTGCCGGCCCCTAAGATACATTTTTTCAAGTTGGAGCACTTCTGAGATTGGGATACATCAGCCACATGCCATCATTTAGTTTCTTAAATGCACATAAAATTACTTAAATGCACATAAAATAATGTTGCTTCTTATAATTGATGACAACTCAGAGTAAATGACTTGTAGTAGTTATTACTCTGCAGAGAAAGTAGAAACATCTTGTTCCAGAGCCTCTTTCCAACTAAATAAGGAAAGGAATCAAAGAAAAGTTAATCCCTTTAATCAGCAAGTAAAAATATTAGGAAATAAGTCTCTCATCATGATAAATAAATACTTTAAGTAAAGTCATATTATACATCATCATATACATATATTAGCTCATTGCATTATATATGACAGTACTTCAGAAAGTTCATGAAAAGTGGAATAAAAAGATAAGAGGCAGGTATTGTGGCACAGTGAGTTAGGCTGTCACTTGGTACATATGCAACCAAATCAGAGTGCCTGGGTTCAAGTCCTGCCTCCATTTCTGATCCGGCTTCTTACTAGTTGGCACCCTGACAGGTAGTAGATGATGGGTCAAGTGCTTGGGTCCTTGCCACCCATGTGAGAGACACAGACTGAGTTCTCAGTTTCTGGCTTTGGTTTGCCCAGCCCAGGCAGTTGTGGGCATACAGGGAGTAACTATTTGATGGTGATCTTTCTCCCTCTTTTTCTCTCTCTCTCTCCATCTCTCCATATGTCTCGTCACTCTGCCTTTCAGATAGATAGAAATGAATAAACTTTAAATAAAAGTTAATTTGGTGCAAAAGATTTTGATTTCCATACATTTGAAGGAATCTTCAAAAATTCATGGGAAATGCATACTATGAAAAAACTGCAGAGATTTCAAAACCTCTTTGCACCAAAGTAGTTATCTGTTAATCCTATTTTTCCATGAACATTCTGACACACTCTTAGACATGAAAAAAATAAGAAATAAAAAGCTAAGATTCAGGGGAAAAAATAATTTCCCTAAAGAAAAGAATCCTTCAAATATTTATGCTCCCGCTGGACTCAGTGCATCTGTCTGTTACAGCACTAATCATATAATAATCACTTATGTGGGTTTTTTCCTCCCAATTAGACAGTGAGCTCCTCAAGAGTAAGAATTGTAATTTATTCCTTGTTGAGTCCCAGATGTGGCGCTCAGTGCCAAACACACAGTGCTATGATCAGTGCGAGCTTGCTGAATGACTAGAGCTCTAACGCTTTAACTTTGACCTCAAGAATACATTTTAGCAAAATTCCTTAGTAAAATAGAATAATTATTTATCACAGGAGATATAATTATCCAGTGGCTAAACACACTTCTATTAGCTTGGAAGGATAACATCTCCCTGGGAACAAGCAAATTAACATCAAGATGACTGTAAAGGATCATGGGCTGTGGGTACAGAAATCAGATTGCTGTGAAATTTCATCTAGGCCAAACGACCGAGAAAACTGTTATACTCTATGATAAGATCAACAAGAGACTGAAGTACCTGTTTATAATGATTGAATATTTTCACTCTTTAGCAATCAAAGGAATGTTTCATATTGATAATGACCTCTATGCCTAAGGACACACAAAATTAAATACTTTATAGGAAACAATGTGACTTTAGATACGTTGGTGGAATTTTTATTATATTAATTGATGTTATGTTATATTAATTCAATAGAATACTGCCTAGTATAATGGTAGTAAATTCTTCTCTGAGAGTCTAAGATCCTTCCTTCTTCATCATCAACAGAAAGCCAGATGTTCTAGGATTTCCTAAAATAGGACAGAAATCCCAAGTGGTAATAAGCGCCTGCTAAACCCATCCTGGCCAGTACTGAGAGATAAAATGATATATATACAGTGTTCTCAACCATGTCTGAATTGCTTAATACAAATTTTACAACTGAGACACATTACTTATGAAATAAAGCCAATTTTTTGTTACTGACCTTCCCAAACTTGTGTTTGAGTTGAAGCCCTGCATCCTGAAATGCTAAAATAATGTCAGATTTGTAATCTTCTATAAAAATTCCTAGGTCAACGTCTTTACTATAAGGAATAACGTTGCACTGCCGATACCATCCTAAAAATAAAAAAAAAATTTAAATTAGGTTTGGAAAAAATTAGTTATTACAAAATGAATGATCTTTGTATAAATGGGTTTATTTCATAGGATTATATTTAGGGAACTTTACCAAAATTTTTTTTTTTTTTAAATCTGGGGCCAGTACTGTGGTGCAGCAGGTTAAAACCATAGCCTGCAGCACTGGCTTCCCATATGGACACCAGTTTGAGTTTCAGCTGCTCCACTTCTGATCCAACTCCCTGCTAATGTGCTTGGGAAAGCTGCAGAGATGGTCCAAGTCCTTGGGCCCCTGTACCCACATGGGAGAGCCAGAAAAAGCTCTAGGCTCCTTGCTTCAGATCGGCTCAGCCATTTGGGGAGTGAGTCAGCAGATGGAAGACTCTCTCTCTCTTTCTGTCTTTATCTCTCTCTTTCTCTAATTCTCTCTGTAACTCCACCTTTCAAATAAATAAAAGACATCTTTCAAATAAATAAAAGAAAAATAAAAAATGAAATCCCAAACTAAAAGACATGGTTATAGGAGTCACTTTTTGAAGATCTATCTATCTACTGTCAACCTACCTACCAACCGACCTACCTATCAATCTTTACTGGTCTAAGCCTATATACCTACCTACGTACATTTCTCCTACTTATTTGTCTTTACTGGACTGAGCACTCAGTTTCCTCAAAAACTTACATGACCAATTTTAACTGCTAAATAACAATTAGCTTTAATAATGCTAACTTGGCCATCCATTTAAAAAATTAAGTTATTTGGAAAGTTTAATCATTAGCCTCTAGTGATATCAACTACTGTTAAGATATGCTAAAAATTTTAAATTATTTTGCTTAAGTACTATGCCTTTACTGAGCCAATAATTTATAAAATGTAATAGTTCTGAATAGCTCATATCTGCTGGGTCACATAAAAAAGCAGTGTCAGCTTCAATTTTCAACATACTGCCAAAAAATATTGATGGCCTATAATTATTCTTATGGGCATCATTATCATGCAATATTACTTGGAATTGTAGAAGAATTCTATCAAAAATTTATAAACTGTTAAAAACAGAAGAACCTTTAAATATCATCTAACTCCCTCATTTCATAAATGCCCTTAAATCAAGAAAACCATGAGCCAAAAAAAAAAAAAAATCATGACAAATGATCAAGAAGTATTTTTGATGATGCAAACTATAAAACAATCTTGTTCTAAGAAATTAAACCTTGCCGGCGCCGTGGCTCAATGGGCTAATCCTCCACCTAGTGGCGCCCGCACACTGGGTTCTAGTCCTGGTTGGGGCGCTGGATTCTGTCCCAGTTGCTCCCCTTCCAGGCCAGCTCTCTGCTGTGGCCCGGGAGTGCAGTGGAGGATGGCCCAAGTGCTTGGGCCCTGCACCCCATGGGAGACCAGGAGAAGCACCTGGCTCCTGCCTTCGGATCAGCGCGGTGCGCCGGCCATGGCGGCCACTGGAGGGTGAACCAACGGCAAAAGGAAGACCTTTCTCTCTGTCTCTCTCTCTCACTGTCCACTCTGCCTGTTAAAAAAAAAAAAGTTAAACCTTAACCAAGTATCATAGAAATATGTGACATGTATTCACTTTTTGGTTTGCTGGTTCACTCCCCTACTGCCCAGGATATCCTAGGCTGGGCTGGGACTGAAGCCAGGAGCCAGGAACGCAATTCAGGTGTCCCATGTGGGTGGCAGGAATACAATTACTTGAGCCATCACTGCTCCATCCCAGGGTCTGCAATGGCAGGAATCAGAAGTCAGAAGATGGAAGTGAAGCATGGAACCTTAGGTATTTCAATGTGGGCCTCACTGGTGTTTTAATTGCTGGGCCAATCTACTCCCAAAGGCAATTATTAATGGAACTTCCTTTCACTCTAAAATATCTCTTGAGTTAGATGATAAATTTTATGGTAACCTTATAAAAAAGCAGCAGCTGGACTGATTCTAAGATGGCAGAGTAGGGAGGGAGCTTATTGCTCTAGTCTAGGGGAAGATAGTTGAAAAAAAGTGGAGAGAGTGCAATCTCAGGGAAGAGTTAGGGAGAAAACTGCAGAGGAAACTCCACACAAATTAGAGGGACACTGCGGGTCTATGTGGAGTCTGTGGACACGCACAATTCAGGACCTCAGCAGCTGAGAGCCTCAGCACCAGCTTTGGAGAGGGAGGTGAGATCAGACTGCAGTAGCTCAAGCCACTGGTGATAAAGCTGAGGGAAGAGCCTGGCATGAGTCCAGCTTGGAGCCCTGTTTGGGACAGTGTACTTGTCAACTTAGAGTGAAAAAGGGGGGGGGGGGAGTTTCTCCCTGACCACCTGGCACTGGCGTCCTGTAACTAACTGAGAGAGGGCAGGTGCCATTTTGGACACACATAAGAGCTGTGCCAGCTTGGGTCCACACACCCAGCAACCAGCCAAGAGGAGATGCCTGAGTCTGGCTGGGAGCACTGACAAGGAGCTAGGTGTTCATAACTGTGGGAGCCTTGTGTGCTGGGACTGTGAAAACACTGTGGGTGTGTGGGAGGGTGCAGTGTGGCTGGATCTCTAAGGAGTCACTGTGAGCAGCTCCATGTGCTCAGGGCTCCTTGGTTCCCTGTGAGGGTCACTGCTGTGGGATCCATGCTCACACTGAGGACTGCACAGTTCCTTTTGTGGTTCTTGTGGCAGTGCAGATGAATACTGTATCTACCAGGGCTAGTGTCCAGGTAATGGTCTCCTTGGAGGAGAGGCGGTGAGCATCAGACTACAACAGAGATGAACAAACCTCCTCTCTGATTAAAAAAAAAAAAGAGAGAGATTTACCACGCCCAGATTGGGTGTCACCTTGGACACTCCCCTCATCTTAGACTCAGCACATGCCTCTGGATATTCACTGAAAAGAGCAGACACTCCATTAAGCCATAGAGGCACAGTCCAAAGACAAAAGCCATCACAGGAAAAAAACAAAACAAAACAAAACAAAACAATTATCTCCACAAATGCCTAAAACAAAGGCATTCAAGAAACAAGAAAAAGGAAGACAATATGACACTCCCAAAGGAACACAAAAACACTTCAATACTAGAATGAGAAATGAAGAGACTAAAGAACTGCTGGAAATGGAATTTTAAAATTGATTGTAGGATCACTTAGAAGTAATTGGAAGCAAACTGACAATTAAAGAAAACCATACATGACATGAATGAAAATTCTTCCCATGAAATTCAGATTTTAAAGAGAAATCAAAATGAAATATTGGAAATGAAGAATTCAATAGATCAAATAAATTATGTGGTGGAAAGCAACAACACACTCAGTGAGGCAAAAGAAAGAATATCCAAGTTAGAAAACAAATCTTTGGAAATTTTACAGTCAGACCAAAAAAAAAAAAAAAAGAAATTAGAAATCTTAAAAATGTGTTGCAGATTTATGGGATACTATCAAATGATCCAACATATGGGTCTTAGGAGTTCTTGAAGGGGTGGAAAGAAAGGTTAGAAGGCCTTCTAGTGAAATAGTTAGAGGAAAATTCCATAACTTGGAGAAAGGACATCCAAGTATAGGAAGCACATAGAATTCCTAATAGACATGACCAGAAAAGGTCTTTATCACAACACATTGTAGTCAAACACTCCACAGTAAAACATAGAAAAACTTCTAAAGTGTGCCTGACAGAAATGTCAGATTACTTTCAGAAGATCTCAAATTAGATTCACAGCTGACTTCTTATCAGAAACCCTAAAGGCTGGAGAGAAAGGCAATACATTTTCTAAGTCTTAAGAGAAAAAAATTGTCAACCCAGAATACTATACCCCGAAAAATTCTCATGTATGGATGAAGGTGAAATAAACACCTTCCATCACAAATAGAAACTGCAAGAATTTGTCACCACTCATCCAGTTTTAAAGATGCATAAGGATGTGCTACACACAGAAACACAGAAACATGATCATCACTATGAAAGAAGGTGAAGACAGAAAACCTCCCAGTAAAAGTACAAAGGAAACACAAAGTAAACAATAGGGGTATTTACAGAAAAGCAGCAGGACCAAGTTGTCACTTATCAATAATCACCTTGAATGTAAATGGCATCAAGTCTCCAGTTAAAAGATACAGACTGGCTGAGTGGATTAAAAAACAAAACCCATCTATTTGCTCCCTATAAGAAACACATCTCACCAACAAAGATGCACACAGACTGAAAGTAAAGGATGGAAAGATATTCCATGCTACTTAAAAACCAAATAGCCACCTATTATCAGATAAAACAGACAACACAAAAACTGTTAAAAGAGACGAAGAAGGGCACAATGTAATGATTAAAGGATCAATTCAACGGAAAGATGTGACTATGATAAACATATCTGTACCTAATTACAGGGCATCTGTCTATTTAAAAGAAATGTTAAGGGATCTAAAGGAAGACAGACACAGACACCAATACAATAGTAATAAGGGACTTCAAAATCCCACTGTCAGCAATGGACAGATCAACCAGACATAAAATCAGCAAGAAAACAACAGTTAATCAACACTATACACCAAATGGACCTAATGGATATCCACAAAATTTTTCATCCCACAGCTGCAGAATATACATTCTTCTCACCAGTGCATGGAACTTTCTCTAGGATAGACCACATGCTGGGCCATAAAACAAGTCTCAGCAAATTAAAAAAAAAACAAAACTGCAATCATACCATGCATCTTCTCTGATCACAATGGAATGAAGCTGGACATCAACAACTCAAGAATCTCTAGAACATATGCAAACACATGGAGACTGAACAACATGCTCCTGAAAGAAGTGAGTTATTGAAGAAATCAAAAGATTTCTCAAAATGAATAAAGATGACAATACAACATATCAAAACAGATAGGATACAGCAAAAACAGTGTTAACAGGGAAGTTTATAGCAATTGGTGCCTACATTAAGAAACTGGAAAGGCACCAAATAAATGAGCTATCGATGCATCTCAAGGATTTAGAAAAACAACAGCAAACCAAACCAAAAACTAGTACAAAAA